CAGTAGTAGTCGTCGCAGCAGTAGTAGTAGTAGTGGCAGCAGCGGTAGTAGAAGTCGTAGTAGTAGTGGTAGTAGCAGCAGCAGCAGTAGTAGTGCTTGTATTAGGAATGCCTATGTAGCAGTCGTCTTCGTAGAACCGACCGCAGTTCAGGGCAGTATATTGTCATTGATTGTGTCGACTAACCACCCTTTTCCTTACGGAAATCAAAAGCGAATACACCAATCTCACGGGACCAGTGCAAATAGGAAAAGTTTGTGGTGGGACCAATATAATCCGCAGAAAACACTTATCTGAATAAACAAATGTCTAGAAATCATATGGTCCCATAATCCTTGTTTGGATGAGATACTTTCTCGCACAACTCTAGCTCTTTTGATGGATTACTGGGAGCGCCTAAATTGCGTTCATTCTTTGCCATTTAGAACGGACAGCAGCAGAGGCATTCCTATTTTAAAACAGCTGGAGGACAGCCCTCTTTCTCTCAACAGATTTCTTCTTTTTCCTGACGCGCACACACTTCCACATGACACAATTTCTTCACCCCCCTTCCCCCCCCCTCATGCGCGACCGATATGCTCCTTGCAACTGCTGAGACTTTTGGCGGGGTTGTGGATTGCTCCCAATTACCTCAGGCCCGTGAGGACGTGTGTGCGTGCGGTTCTACTACCTCATATTTATAGATGTATCGCCCTCTCGTACTCTCATTCAACCACTACCTCACTGGCTCTACCTCTCATGGCATATCCAACAACCGCCAGGTTGTTGATTTTTCTATCTCTTCATGCATTTACACGGATCTCCTACATTCACTGTCTCGGATATTGATACTTGATGTCTGTTTTACTAGTTTTACTCTTTGAAGTAAATTACGCGTACGTACTCTTGCCTCACGTGTTTTTTCACGCCTAACCGATCGGGGCTGTGCCGAGACGGTGTAGCGGAGCATTATAGTCTTTTTTTGCTGCTGAGTGCGCAACCAGACTCGAAGGCAATCGGAGAGAAGGTGTCAACGTGGCCAATTCCCAGGTAGGCAGCGATGAACGATAGTCGTCTGAGCCAATCAGCGAGGGTTACTACAACGGCCTCATAGCTCTTGTAGTGAACTCACTATCGGCCTGATATGCGTCTGACAGCATACTTCAACACCTCTTCCACGCTAATTAAATGGCCTGTGTGTCCTCATTACGCCGCCATCCTGTCAGATATGTTAAGCTCTGTCCGCTCAAGCCGGTCGCGGTTCGAAAAGGAGATTTGTCATATAATATATATATATATATAT